CAATTTATAATTTTTAACTTATACCTGTAAGTAATATCAGCAACAGGTATACCAAGATAATTCAAAAATGGTGCATGATCACTTTGACCTCTTGGAATTAGCATTGATGGTATATCCGGTAAGAAAGTAATATTACTTGGGAAAGTTTTGAACCTATAGTTGAATCATTTTCAAATTATCAAATTTAATTAATTAATTTATTTATTTTTTCATTATTTGCTAATTCAGATTCTATTTTCTATGGTAATAGTATGTTAAGAACAGATAATTTATTTGTTTGTTTGCTTTTTTTCTTTCTTTTCTTTCCTAACATTCTTATCATTAATTATATTCAAAAATTGATTTAAAAAATATCGCATATAACTTTAAAAAATTTAATTTAAAAATAACTTATTTGTAAAAGAAAAACTTTTAAATTTTTTCATTTAAATTAAAACCAAAAAAAAAAAAGAAATTAAAAAGCATTTACCAAGTATCATAAAGAGTTTTTCGACCATGTTTTTCCTCCGATTTCATCGGATTTGGAATTAATTTTGATATTTTTGCCATAAATTGATACAATGTTGGTACGGTATTTACATGCCTATAATAAATATAAGTTATTTTAAAATATCTAATTTAATTTACTCCTATGATTATTTCACTTAAAATTCTTAAAATTAATGAATTAATGATATTAAATGAATAAAATATTGATATTATTATTAAATTTTTATTTTATTCAATTATGTTTATTATTAGTTAAAATTATACTACTTATCATCCAGGTATTATTAAACATTTTAAATTTTTCATTTTATTTTAAAATGATTGAATTTGTTAAAAGACAAAATAATTTTTCTCCTAATTGAAATAGCAAAAGAATACTCAAATAATCAAAATATAATTAACAAATACATATATAAATGAAAATTACTAAAATTGACTAAATTTCATTAATCATTTGATTAGTCAAATTTAATTAATCATTTTCCAAGATTAGTTTAAGCAAAAAAAAGAAGAAAAAAAAGAAAAACTATAATTCTCATAAAAAAAAAGCAATTCTAGATGTGTAAAAAATTAAAATGAAATAAATTTTTAATAAAACTAAAAAAAAAAAAAAGAAAATGAACAATGAATAATTGGAGTGTATATTGTCCACATTGAAATATGCTATTGCTCGTTGATTTAATAAATTTGCATATTCTTCAACAAATTCTGTTGATCCAATTAAACCATATTCTTCAGCATCCCAATTACAAAAAACAATTGTCCTCCCTGCAAATGTCTCCTTCATGATTCATCGTAATATTTACACACATATTTAAATATTTCATGCTTCCCCAAAATTTTTTATTGTAACATAAAATTTGTCACAATAATACATTTAAGCTATATTTACATTTCATTACATATTATGAAATATAAATGAAATTTAAAAACTTATTAAATTTAAGTATTTTATTTGTTTAATTCAATTAATAGCACCTAAAATAATCATCCTAATTAAATGAGATAATTAACACGACCTTTAATTAATATAATTAATGTAAAATTTTTGTAGTTTAATTTATCACATATCATAACATATCTATTTATTTATGAATAAAAAAAAAGAAATGATAAATTACCTGGTCTCCATCTTGTTATTTTCATAGTTTGTACAATACCTCGAGCAACTTCAGCTAATATTGCTGTAGCACTATTTGGATCTAATGCACCATAAACCCAAGCATCATAATGATTACCTAAGATGACATATTTATCAGGATCTGTTGTACCACGAATATATCCTATCACATTTCGAATTGTTCTGTAATAATTAATAAAAATTTTATTATGAAATGAATTTTTTCTTTCCTTTTTTTGCATAAATTCTTTCAAAATTAATCAAATATTAAAAAAAAAAAACAGGTAAAAAATGTATAAAAATTAATTCATAAATGAAAAAAAAAGGAAAGATATTTTATTAAAATTAAATAAATTTAATTCAAAAATTTTTTTTAATATTACTTTTATTACAATTAAAAATATAACTTAATTCTTTTATTTGTAAAATTGTTAGGAAAAAAAAACCTATTTTCCAGTGTTGAATGAACGGTAATTTGAATTTCATTATTTTCCTTCATTTCAGGTCCAAGATAATAAGTTACATTAAGACCACCATGCCAATCAAATGGTGCTAAATAACCTCGCATATATGATAATACCTGATAAGCATCCGAATAGCTTATTGGTAATGCTGGAATTTTTGGTAGCACATAATCATTCATAGCCTAAAAATGTAAAAATTTTTTACAAACAAAGATGACGGAATTAAAGGTGAAATTTAAAACTTTCGATGATAAAATAAACCTAATTAATCTCAGGTATGAAATGATAGAAGGTTACAAGGATGTGTGACTTTTAGAGTTATATTGGATAATTAATTATTTGCTATTATTTCATCTAATAATCATTTTTATACTACAACATTTTAATTAGGTTATTTTATTGATTAATTGACAAGTTTTGAAAAATAATTTTTTTATTACAAAATTAACGATTATAAATAGAAATTAGCATTTCAGCATTTAAATGATGTTTTAATCTTTGAAAAGAAGAAAAAGCAAAAGTAATTTTTTGCTAGAAAAAGAAAAAGTAAAAAGTAATAGAAAAGTAAAAAATTAATAAGAAAAAGTAATATTTTAATTTTTTAAAAGGTAAAAAATAACAAGAAAAAGTAATAGCAATACAAAAGTATTTTTTTTTTCGAAAAGAAAAAGTAATACGAAAGAAAAAAGTAAAAAGTAATAGAAAAATTAATAAAAAGTAATATATAATAGTAATACATTAAGCAGCATACTGTATATCGTAATTTAATTTTTAACACGCTGAAATTTCCTGTAATCAATGCTAAACTTTATAAAATTCATAGCTAATTTCAATTTAAGTTAAGCTTATATTATAGCATGATAAAAGTTATGAAAATTTGGCAAAAGAAATATGCAGAAAAATTTTTGTGATATGAATTTTACAAATTATATAATTTTAATTACTTGCAATTCATTACAATTTCATTAAAAATAAACAAAAGTTGTCACAAATTTATTACAAATTAATTGGAAATGAATAAATTTATCATAATTTAATATCTGTGATAGGCAAGTTTATCATAATTTAATTTTTGTGATGGATAAAGTTATCACAGTTTAACTTCTATGATAGACATATTTATCATATTTTAACTTTTGTGATAGACAAATTTGTCACAATTTAACCTTTTTGACAAACAAATTTATCACAGTTTAATTAGAATTAAACAAAATTTAATTAAAAATAATAAGAAAAACTATTAGAATGATACCTCTTTGATTGTTTTTGAACGATATAAATCTTTTTTGGATGGATATAATGGTGAAAGTGGATCACCTTTACCATGCATAATACTACCACGTTGTACACCAACATTTGGTAACCATTCACTATTTGGATAGACATTTTCTGTAGTATTTAATATTTAAAAAAAAAAAATAAATTTAAATTATTAAATTTATATTCTAGTAAATTAAGTATTAGTATTGAAGAAAAAGAAAAAAGAAAAATAAGGGTGGAAAATTTTCATCGTATTTTATAATAAGAATAAGAAATTAACTAAAATAAATTTGAAATTTTTCATTTTTCATTTCGCTATTTTTTTTAATTTCAAAATTTAATTTTTTTCCCAATTAATTTTTATTCATTTACAACAAAATGTTTTTAAATATATCCTTTTTAGTAAAAAAAAAATAAATCCAATCATTCATTCATTATTGGAATAATTAGGTAAATAAATGATAAAACAAGCGATACTAATGATATTAATTAATAACAATAAGAAGAAATTAAAATTTTAACAAAAAAAACAAACAAATAAACAAATAAATAAATAAACAAACAAAAAAAAAATATCTTTTTTAGTAAAAAAACAAATCCAATCATTCACTCATTCATTCATTCATTATTGGAATAATTAGGTAAATAAATGATAAAGCAAAACGATCAAATACATGTATTCAGTAGCTAAATAGCATTAAGCTAAATAGCTAATGCAAAAAAAAAAAAAAAAATTGGAAAAAGCTGAAATTTTGACAAAAAAAAAAATTGGAATAATTTGGTTAATGATAAATTAAAAGACTAAATACATTTATAATAGCTAGATGAATACTAATTAATAACAATAAAAAATTTCAGCAAAAACAAACAAACAAACAAACAAGCAAACAAACAAACAAACAAACAAATAAACAAACAAACCTTTCTCTGTACCATCTCGTGCTATTTCAAAAGGATCCGAAAATAAAATAGCACCAATAGCACCCGCTAATTGAGCATTCCATATTTTGTCACCGCGAAAAATTTTCCCATATCTTATCATAGCTATTTTACCCTGAAGAAAAAAAGAAATAATAAAAACGACACTATCAATATCATATATCTAATTAAACATTTAATGATAGAAAAGAATTTTTATGAGGAAAAAAAAATCAATAAATCAAAATATACATTTTATAATTTATCAAATATTATTGCTTTTTTTTTTCGATTACATTCCAAAAAAAAACGAATTGAAACATTTTTTTTAAAATTCATTTCCAATTAATTTAAAATGAAATTACATAAATTTTTTAAATGCAAAAAAAAAAAAAAAAACCAAAACCTTAGGATCAATATTGTAGTATTTTAAACGTTCAAAATCTTCCTTTCGTCCAAAATGACAATAAACCACTTGACCTCGAATTGTTCCATTTGCAGAATAAGCTAACCAACGTATTCCGGCTCCTATTAAAATTTCATTAATTCATGTTTCAAACAAATAATTAACATGATTAAGTTTCAAATAATAATTAATTTAAATGAAAAAAATTTATATCATTAATAAATTAAGTTAAAGATTTTTTTTTTTGTTTTTTTGAAAGTACAATATATAACTTTAAATTTTAGCTTTAAAGAAAAGCACAAAAATTCATTTTAGAAAAAATTCAAAAATTCAAAAATTCATTTTTTTTTCAAAAATTCATTTTTATATTTTTTTTTCATTTATTAATAATAACTTTCACATAACCTTTAGCGCTTTGCTCTTTTGGTATCAGTGGTGGACTGACACTTTTAGTTGTGTAAACAATCTTATCATTCTTATCAAATATATGCAAATGATTGGGATTATCATAATCCGGATATGATAATAATACATCATATTTCACATAATGTACATCTGTAATATATTATCAATTAGCTTAAAACTATGATAATAATATAATCACTATATCTATCTTTCAGAAATTTTACGCTATTTCATTTTACCTTTTTGTTTCGTTTGTATTTCATTATATTATCTATAAATTTTTAATGCTTATTTAAAAATCAGCGAAAAAAAAATTTCATACAATTAATTAATTAATCAACTAATTACCTTCTAAACCATTAGCTTTCCAAAGTTTAGATATCTTTTCAGCTACTTTAGCATTAGCTCGTGTTCCAGCTAAATGTGGCAAAGTAGTGAATGATCGTAAATTTTCCGCAATTTTATGACCATGTATATTTGATATTAAAATATCGATCATGCTTGGATAATTATCTGAAATTAATTAAATTTATTTATAGAATTTTTAAAATTTTTATTTGTAGCATAAAATTTATTATGCACGTATATATAATTTAATTATACTTTATACTAATAATGCAAAAAAAAAAAAAATGCAATAAATTTTGTAAATAAGCATTTTTTTTTTAATTTGTCATATTCCATTGTTATAATAGTAATAATTAATTATTAATATTAATTCATAATTTTACTTTTATCATTTATAATTATATTTGTTATATCAATTTTGTGACATTCATTTTGGATATACTTTATGGGATTATTATCATTCTAATAAACAAAATTTATGCTTGAATAAATAATATTTTAAATGCATTTAATATATTCGTTCCATTTAGAAAAATTCATTTGTAACAAAAAAGAAAAAAACTTTTGCATACTTACAAAAATGAAATGAAATAAATTTGATAAACCTTTCGAATTGGTTTTAAATTTGGTTGCTTTAATTGAATGCGAATTATGATAGATACCAAGGAAACCAACAAGAAAGATAGACATGAAGCCAATTCCAAGTAACGAAATTGCTTTTAACATTGTTCGATCACATAAATTATTTGCTAAAAAAAAAAAAAAAAAAAAGAAA